TGCTACATTTATTTTTTACTATAAATATATGCTGCAGCTGTTTTTCAAAATGCTTTCATATGCTTATTACATATTTCTAGAAAAACGCAATAAAAAAAAAATTATTAAAAATGAACTCTTTGTTAAAAATTTTTTGAAAAGAATAATCTTAATGAACTTTTTCAGAACTTTTTGAAAATATGTATTCAATAATGTTTGTCGACATCTAAACTAGCTTATTTTGTAAAAAAGTCAAAAATGATATTTTTAACCTTAAGGCGTTTTTGAAAAATGGCTGCAGTATGGATGATACAATATGTTAAAATGAGATAATTTGATGCAAAATTTAAAAGCTCTTAACAAAAGCCACTAAACCAAAAAAAATTAAAAATAATTGCTTGAAAATTTTATTATAGTGAAAATTTTTATTTTAGTGAATATAGTAATTGTAGTTCAAAATTTTATTATAGCACTTAAAAATTTTATTATAATGCGTTGGTTTTGCAAAGAAAGGCTATATAAATTATTTTTTAATTTTAATACTAACTAATTTTTTTTAAACTTTGTTGCACTTAACCACCTCTATATAAACAATGTATATATAAACATATATGCTATATGTTTATATATTTTGTTTATAAAATATAAAAAATCCAATTATACAACGTTTTATTCAGGATCGTATGTAATATAAGTAAACTTTTCTAATTGTTACAAGTCTTTTTTACTTGAGCTGTTTTGTTTTGATTTTTTGTAGTTATGTTATTATATTTAAAAAAATTGACAAGATTAAAAAAACACAAAACATATCGTCACTTCCGAGTGGAAAATTTAAAACTTCGACTTTGGATTTGCTCCTCTCTCAATAATTTCTGATTTCTAAAGTTATGTCATCTGCTTTTTAGACCTTTAAAAATGATATTCATAAAAATAAGATTTTATTTCAATTTTTTATAAAAACTCAATCTATTAAAGATATATGGAATACATTTTTATGGGATATATTTTAATAAAGACAAAAGGGGCTATCCATAAAGAACATCATCCAAATAGGGAGGGGGAGGGGGAGGTGTTCAAGATAAATAAGACAAAAAAGAACAAGGGGAGGAGGGGAGTTTGTCAGAAAAAGACGTCACTTTATAGTTTTTTTATTTTAGTTTAATTAACATGAAAACTATGTAAACATGTTTTTAAGAAGATAATGTATGACAATATTTTTAATTTTGTTTTTCAAAGGTGTAGCAGATTCAAACATTGCAAGATGAAATAATTTTTTGGGGAGTTTAAATTAGGGGAGGGGGTAGGATTTTATGATGTCCTTTTCAAAGGGGTATAGGGAAAAAGGACAACTGGTATTAAAGGGGGGGGGGGGGATGGGGACAAAACTTGGCTAAAAAATGATCATGTCCTTTATAGATGGCCCTAAAACTATTTATTCATTACTATTGTAATAAATACAATCTCTTATCCGTGAAAATGATATATTTGTACCAGTTTTATATATTTTAATACATTTGTATGCAACATAATTAAAATTAATTAAAAAATGTAAGATAAATGCAAAAGGAAACTTGACGCATAAATGTTTACTTTGCCACAAACTGACGCCAATGCCCAAAATCATTTTGGCTTAACTTTTAGATAAGCATTTGATATTATTCTTATAGTTCTTAATCATAAGAACTAATTTTTTTTTATGACTTTGGTTTAGTGCTCTTAGATCTTCTTAATTTTATTTGTATAGCGTTATGTACAAATTTATGTAAGTGTAAACGTCTTTATGTTGAGTTTGTAGACATTTTATGAAATAATCACTTATATCTATATATCTATAAAATGAGAAAACTTGAAAATTTTTTTTTTAATTTCAGAAATCTTTATTTCTATATTCTTATTTTTTTGCTACGAATATATAAGCAAGATTATATTACCTCCTCTTAGCGTAAAAAATTTTGAAAAAATTTCAAAATTTATTATGCTAAGAGGAGGTTTAAAACCCTCCAAAACAACACTGATGACAGTGCATTTAACCATTGCACAATCAATCAGAAAAACAAACCTAATTATAAGCCTCTTATAAGGAAAAGGTGCGCATGTTAAGTTTTTTACTCTTAAATTATTTTTTCAGAATAAATTATTTTACTAAAAACTATTGAAGTAAATAAGGTACAGGTATAGAAATTTTCAGCTAGAAATAGATATGTAAATTGGTAAAGACCTGTATTTTACAGATCTGGAAATCTAGGGTATATAAGGAAAAAGTATAGAAAAGTTCAGTTTGAAATAGATATACAAAGACCTGTATTTTTAAGGGGCCGACCTCAGCTAGTTTATTATTATTTGTAAAAGGTGGATTTTCTTGACATTTTCTCTTGTTTTAACTAACATCTTTAACACTAAATAACTGTTTCTCACCTTTCCTTTTCATCATTATAGATCATGGGCGACAGAATAGGCGATAAGGCATTTGTGAAGTTGCAAAAATTTTTTGCTTCAGCTCCAAGAACCATATCATCTTGATCTATAAAAAGCAAAACGTCATAATGATAATCGGTGATAACAATGTCATTATTAAATATAGACAATCAATTATTTAATGGTGATAACAATGTCATAATTTAACATAGAAAATTAATTTTAAGACCAAAATCTATAGTTGTTGAAAAACTATAAAAAATTTAAAAATAAATCAAATACATAAACCAAGTTGAAGTATAACTTTTTAATATTAAACACAAAAGCATTTTCATACTAAACACTTTTATTTTATTAAAAATATTTATAATTTATCATAAATATTTAAACTTGCAACACAATATCCCAAGCTACTAGCAATTCCAAATAGGCTTTTAAGGTTTCCAACATGATTTACAAGACTTTTATCATACAATCACTTTAAAACAAGGTATGATTCTTTTTTAATGACTTAATTTCTTTATTTAGTTTTTATGCAAAAAATCAGCAGCAATTTCTAGGAAAAGTATAAAGTGAATCATATAAAAATGAAGTAAAATAAAGACAGGAGCCTATCGTGAATACCTTTTTATATTTTTTAAATTTTTTACTTAATTCGTCTTTAATAACTCCCTAATATGCCTAAACTGCCTAATGACTATTGTAATTAAAAATATTATCATAGGAGTTTTAAAATTGTACATAAAAGATTTTGTGTAAGAAAAATGATGATTAAAGAAACTCTCAAGTGGTCATTTTAAATATATATAAAAATTTAAATATTCCAAAAGAAAAACAATAATATTAACATGTTTTTTACCAAAGGTCTATTTGATGGTGGAAGATCTATGCCTGCCCGCATGTCTAGAAAATAATTCAGTTACTTACGAAGACAAGAAGGAAAACATTATGAAGCTTTCTAAATCAAAGTCATTCTTAATACTACACTTTGAATTTTCAACAAAGTTTAAAATGAAAAGGAAGAAAATAAACAGAACGCTCCAAACAGCATTAACTGATTCTTGATGCTCAAATACAGTAGTTTATGTTGAACCCATACATGATTTTGTTTCAAAAAGTTAAAAGTTCATCAGAACTTTAGGAAGAACTGTGCAAGTGCCAGGTAAAATAATAATTAAATTGGAAATTGATGGAATACACAGGATAGTTAATTCTTTAATTGTAAAAGAAAAACGGATTTGATTTTCGGAATGGATGTGATTGAAAAAGATGGGGAGCTGACAGCTATGATTAAAAGAACAGTAACCCGTTCACATTGTTTGATTGCTCTGACAGTTTTGTTGTACAATGAGACATAATCATCCAACTGTACTAAAAGTCCATCTCAGCAATTCAAGAGAAAACCTGCTTGTTTTATTTCAGGTGTCGATTCACTGAGGAAAGCAGACATAAATGATGTAAACAAGAAATTCAAAGAGCATGATAATGTTTGGGTAAAACAAACTCAAGAAAAAAATGTGACCACCTGTGTATACAAGGTAATGTGGAAGAAAAATACCTTGTCTTTAGACATTGAAACTGCAAATCTGGTATATCCATTTTAAGAACTAAAATGAATCACTCAACAATACTCTTTATAGACCAAAAGATAAAACTGAAAATGCTAAAGAGAAATATGACAATGATGTTGCTCGAGTTCGGAATAACTCTCAAGAATATAACAAACAACACGCTCCAGACAAACAGTAAGACCCCCATAAAGATTAGAGTTGTGATTTAACTCATCAAGAGGGCATGTTCTATTGTAATGTTGGTGAATTATAATTATACATGTTAGATGTCACATAGATATACGTGTTAAAAGTCGTTCATTAATATATGATTACTATTTAATGATAATTTTAATGACTATAGTAATTAAAAATATTGTCACGGGAGTTTTAACTTTGTATATATAATATATGTAAGATTTTGTGTAAGAAAATTGATGATTAAAGAAATTCTCAAATTTTAAATATATAACGCAATTATGCAATTATTGCTTTATCATTATGATTGATTAATGGTTATGATTGTTTTACTATTATGGGCAATCCACAATAGCAACAAGTGCTTTTCTATGCACTCTTTTTGATAAATTTCACTTTTAATGAAAAAGTATAAACAACACTCTGATTTCAATTCATATTAACATATTGCTTGGCAAACCACAATTTTTTAGGAGAACTTCTTCATTTTTATCATCATAAATTTAGTCTTATTAATTACATTAAGTCTTGTTAATTTCATTACAGTCTTGTTAATTACATTACAATCTTGTTAATTACATTTGCTGTATTTGTAAAAGTAAAGACTTTACTTTTTTTTCCTGTAGGCTCCCATATAAATGATGTATATGTATCATTTTGAAATTTAACTTGACACAAAATTTTTGTGGTAGCCAAAATCTAAGAAATAAAAAAGTGACAACTTAACTCTTAAATCAAAAAAATTAAAACGTTCAATTAGTATAAAAATAGTTTAATTTAGAATTAACTATGTGACTGTATAAATACAAAAAATGTAATTAATGCATTGAAACAGCCTTTCATAAAAACATGTCGCTTTATTTATTTTATGAGTATACTTCTCATGCTTTGTTAAAACTGGTTTAAGAGTTGGTTTATGAGAATTGACTTCATCTCATGCTTTGTTAAAACTGGTTTAAGAGTTGGTTTATGAGAATTGACTACTTCATCTCATGCCTTGTAAGGAGATTTCGTTCTGTAACAAAAAGGTTTAATGCTAATTAATGTAACTTTAACTTTTTTTGTAATTACATCTCTAAAAGTTTAATTTTTGTTATATTTGATGCAGGTAATCTGCCGTGCTTGAACTAGACTGAACAATCAAAGACAACAGAGAAATATGAAATATTTCTATTGAAAAAACTTTTTATATAAAGGAGGATAACTAATAAAAACGAAGAAAAACGAACAGATGTTCAGAATAAACACAGATTTATTTTAAGAAGAAAAAGTTTATACATAATCATAGTCAACAGAAATTTTATCAATAAAGTATACCTAAAACAAAACAGGACATATAAGTAAACATAAATCTTCATTAAATACAAATTTTTAACTTACTTTAACACAAACATACATATGCATAGAGATATAACTATTAAAAAAATATATATCAAATGATAAGAGGTATAAGATAAAGAAAAAAGATATTAAATTATTTAAAAAAATAAGGTAAGGAATGAAAAAACCACATAAGGCTCAAAAAAAAAACAAAAAACAATATGTTAAATAGGTAAAATGTTTAAAACAATAAAAGCAAACTATTTTTAATAACAACTAAACTATTAATATATATATATATATATATATATATATATATATATATATATATATATATATATATATATATATATATATATATATATACATATATATATATATATACACACACACATACACACACATATATATATATACACACACACAAACATATATATATAAATATATATAATTAAACAACTAGAGTGCTAAAAAAACAAAAAAAAACTAGTTTTTATGTGCTGTCACAAAAAAGTTAAATGCTAATTAACTTCAAACTCAATTTATACATCTTTAAAAGTTTAATTTTTGTTATTTTAAAGTTCACATTGTAATTAAATTTAATTTTAAACCAAATTAAAAATCATATATACAAATATAAAATAAATTTTTACATAATGTAATTGTGGTATGTGGTGTAGTGATAGAGCACTCACCTTATAAGCAAAAAGCTCTGAGTTCGATCCCCACCACGCCCCTGGTAGTATCGCGCTGAAATTGTTTCTCAGCGCAGTTACCTTGTTCATCGAGTAACATTAAGTAACAAATAAAAGTAAAAAAAATTTCATCTTTAATAAATACTGTGGAGCTAATTTTAAGTTTTTCAATAAAAAAAAAATATAAAACAATTATTTTATAAATTGTTTTTACAAAACTTTTTATAAAACTGTTTCTTTAAAAAATTCACAGTTGCAGTTAAATGCTTTTTTTTATGACCTAATTTTTTTCTGAATAAACATCACATAAACCATATTAAAAGATAATTTAAAAATCCCAAAAGATTGAAGTTTTTGCTTAACATAAAATCGCTGAATGTGTATGCAAATTGGCATTTTGTACATAAAATGTGAGCAGCAGAACTCTTCATAACAAGGCCTGCCATCTAATAAAACATTCCATGCGTTTGCATATCGATTATAGCTCATCACTTCCAGGCTAGACATGACTCTTTTAAAGTAAAAAGACCATGCAGCTATACCATATTCAAGATGTGGACGGATGATTGTTGTATAAAAAATCTTAAATACCTGTTTAAGTTTTGCTAAAGCATACAAAGCAATCGATTTGCTTTAGACACAGAGCTAATTGAATGAAGTTTTAAAAATGATTAGTATAAATTTAACAAGTATAAATTTTTTTTTAACTCAGAACAACATTGGTACATCCAAATTAGTTACCATGGGTTGTGACGGAACAGTTGTCAATATCGGATTTTGTTCACTGCTTTTATCAATGAAAAAATTAGATCTTTCTTAGACTTTTATATCGTCATTATTCGTATTGGGTATGAAACAATATAGCTATTGATTGTTTTTTCCAGTCGCTTTTTAATGTTGCTATGTCAAAAGTTGTGTTATTTCTGCAAATGTTTCATGTTTTAAAGAGAGTATTTTTTTAAGAGATAAGTCTTTATCTCTGTACTTGTTCCAATATATCTCCTTTAAGGTAAGGAGACCATAGAGTAACACTAAATTCAAAATTTAGATGTACAATTTCAGTATAAAAAACCTCAAAGGGATCTTTAACTATCTAGACAAGTTGTGTTCATATTAAAAAAAATATTTGCGCTTCTGAAATCAGATATATATGTATGTATATATATATTAGGGTGTATCGAAAAACAACTTTTTTTGAACTTGAAATTGTAATAGAGCGGAAAAGTTGCATAATGATATAAAAAGTAATTGTGCCAAATTATTTTGTATTTTTTTTTTATGTCTTCAGTTCGCGCTAGGGTTTTATTTTTTGTAGAAAAACACGTTTTCTGACCTTTTTTACA